CTTCTCTGTTACAATGTCAAAGTCAAGATTCTCGCTTTACTATCAGTGCCCCATGCAACCTTGCTCTGTCTGCATCTGATCTCATTTCCCCGCGTCCCCCAACTCACATTCCACATTCCTCACAGTCCTCTGACTTTATTGCTCCTTTTGTCTGCCTTTCATGCACTCATTTTTGCACTGTCTTTCATGCTGCCTATGTGCCTGGAACAGTCTTTAGCATCTCAGCCAATTTACAGCTTTGCATAAATTATATTTAATAATAAGACTAACAAAAGTTCATTATCTACATTATTTCAATTAACTTTGTACCTGCATAAGCGGAAAACAGCCTGAGGGAAACTACTGTTAAACTTTGTTGTGATTTGTTGTGATTCAAACACGACAGTGTTTGATTCAGGCACGACAGTTCTTTGATGATTCAGCATAAATTGAATTTTTTTAAGAATTCGGTAGGTGTTAGATTTTTTTTTTTTTTTTGACAGTAGATTTCAGATTTTTCTAATTCAGAGATAAGAATATAGCTACTTGTTTTTTGCTAAGTGAAACCACCAAAAGGTCATCATCATCACATTACCTGGTACTGACTTCTTGCCCTGTGATACATTTTACTTCATTTTATACTTACTAATATGGATGTAGAAGGGCTTTGAATGTTGGATTAACTTCATATCTACTAACAAAGTGTATCTTTTGTGTTTAACCTTCCTTCTAAACCAACATACTCCTCTGCTTAAAAAAAAAAAAGTGAAAGATAAGAAAGTAAGATTCTGCCTATATCTGCGAAGTTTTCGCAGTGTGTTGGCTACTTTGACATACGGGTTTTCTTAAAATATTAAAAGTTGTTTAATATTTTAACTCCCTTCTAACACCAGTGAAAATGAGCTGAAGGTGAAACTTCATGTGCTTCTCCGGCATCAGTGTATAGCTGCAAGACAGAGCATTCTGCAGGAATTATACATAATTTTCCAAGTAAAATTGCATCTGAAATATAGGGGTTTTTTTTTTGGTTTAAATGGTTGTATTGATACTGTTCACAGCTGAGTTGTGGAACCAAATAGATGTGCCTTTAATTTGTTTTTAAATGATCTCTTATATTCTGGAGATTATAATCTGAAGGGTGGCTGCCATAGTAATGTGCCAGTCACCACGGCATCTGAACATTATGAAAAGAAATTCTGGGCTGCACAAAGACAGTGCCACCAATTAGTATTTCGAACTGATCAAAGGTGGGGGACCAAAAAGTTTGCCAATAAATGTAGCTCAGTGGATAGCACTAGAAGTTAGAGTTTGCTTTACACAAATTTATAAAGATTTCAGTCCTCCTATCAATATCATGTGAGTTTATAAATAAAAACCTTAAAACAGACTTAATCCACTTACTATGCTAACTTTTTTCAGTTGCATGAAGAGTATAGCCGTAGGTTTTTGTTTCACTGGCCTAGTGAAGAAGTAGTTTATAGTTCTGCTTTGTACAAATCTTTAGAACTTTTTCCTCCTTACAGAATTTTTAACTTTAAACTGAAATTATGTCAGTTAATGAAGAAAAGGGGTTTTCTGTACTTGATTAGTAAATATTCCTAGTCTCTAAAACTTTTGCAGTCTGCTTTCTTAATCCTATTCTAATAATCAAACCTAAAATTAAATAGTTATTTAAAAGCAAGTTTATTTTATCTTAAATAATTGATTTTGGCTTGTTGTTTGAAAGAGGACTACTTTGGCATGAATTCCAAATCCAGTTATGATCTTAACTCAAGCAGTTTGTTTAATCAAACATTATTCTAATAAGTCTTACATGGTCCCCTACCCGAGCAGGCCTGTCTATAACAACTAGTTTATTCTGCGACGAGTTGCTCAACAGATGTCATTCTGGTAGAATAATGCAGCAGAATACTTGTGCGTTGGCTAAAATTACTTCAACTTTGATCACTTTTGTCCAGCACATCAGTCTGGCATTGTGCTTTATACCAACATAACACTTTACCCCGAGCATGCCTTTCAAGCTTAGAATAGCAGAGGAATGTTATTGAATTCAGTGCAGTTACAGATGAGTTAATGAAAGAAGGGAAATACTGTTTTTTTCATAATGCCTTTCTGTTGTACTTTGGAATTAGAAGGGAATTTGAGGAATGTGACTTCTGAGTTATTTATTTTTACTTCCGAAGGCTTTTTGCAAACGTATTATGTAGTTGTATTGATCCCACGTTTCTGTAAATAACTTTCACTTGTTATTCGAAAATAGCTCATTTTAGGGTTTTATATTGTGAAAATAATATTAATAAGACTACTTTGATGTATAATTGGAGAACAGTTATCTCACAGGGACAGTTTATCTCTGTATTTAATGCAAGAAAACTAAAATAGCAAGAAACGTATTCTTGTGATCACAGATCAGTATTGTTACATTTTGATGGGCTGTTGTGGGGTCAGTACAGAGTAATGACATCTCTTTACCTTGATACTACTGTGAAATGAATACTGCACAGCAGGCTACCTTCTTGTTAAGAAGCAGTGGAGAAAGGCTGTTTGTTTTGAACAGTAGGAATGAGATCATATACCAAGTTCTATAGAGTTCAGTCTTCCATAATTCCATTTTTCACAGGTGCGTGTGTATACATATGCATATAGATATATATAAGAATATACCATATATCTGTGTATTTGAAATGTATTTAAATATGTTTTTAATAATTATGATGTATTTGTATTTTTTAAAGCATGACGACATGCTTACATACGGGGAAGCACTAATATGAAGTGCATTTTAATTACTAATAAATACTTAAGTATTCTGTGTCTAAAACTAAACAATGTTCTTGTTTTAGCTTTTTAAATTAAAATATAATTTTAATTTTTTTTAATTAAAGCATAGATACCAGATCAGTCTCCCTGCAAAAACTCCTGAACAAAACCAATATTAACATAAATGTTATCGGGTGTACGTGTAATTTACCAGCTTTACAAAAAAAGGAGAGATATCTTAATGATTCTAAAACATCCAATGAATGTAAAGCTGAGCTGAAAATCCAATGTAAATATATGTTAGGCCACTGAAATGTCCAGATGAGGAACCCACATGGTCTGACTTTCTTCCTTTAGTGAGATGTAGACTCCAGACTTGGAAGTTATGTATCTTGCTGTTAGATAATAATTTGAAGCCATTGTTTTCCACTCATCTGTGCAGAATATTTATATTTATAAGGCTTTAAACTGATAGTATTGAAATTACTATCCACATAGCCTATATATTAAATCTATCTAGAAATGGGAGACACTTCACAGTTTTTACTAAGGGGCACTTTGTTAGTATGAAATATTACTACTACTACTAAAAGTAGTGAGAATGAGCAACAGTAATTGAATGGAGGATCTGAGAACTGGAAATACAGCAAGAGCACTGTACTTTGTGTTTGCTCTCTGTATGCCCTGAATTTTCTCAGTTGTATTTATTTGTTGGCAAACTCATGCAGCAGTGCCATGAAGAGTCTTTTGAAGAATGTTGCCCAAATCAACATTTGTGAGCAAGCATATGTGTGGAAATCCCTGCCTCCTCCCTCACCCCCCTTAGGATATTTACAATGATTAGAACAGTTCTTTTACCACTTAACATCTGCATGTGTATCCTTCATCCATGCATCAATGTGCTTGAAATATGTGCAAAATTTAAAAGAAAGGATCTATGCACCATTTCTCTATAAAGATGATCCTGAGAAAAAGAGTTTTGGTATTATTTCATTATGCAAACACATTTTTAGATGAATATCTACTGCTAGATGTTGCATATACATTCTGTACTAAAAATAAATGCCAAATTTTGAGGGAACATATGCACATTCCATATGTTTATATTACCATATTACCTTACCACGTATTCAAAACTCAACTGTGCTTCTGTGATGAAGCTATGGCAAGTACTGATTAATAGTTACGGTCAAATTATATAAAATGTCTGTATAATAGATCGCTTTGTTTTATTGTATTATGTCTTTAAGAATGGTAGTTTAGAATCACCTTTCATTCATTTCTTGAATAGGAAACCTTTAAATATATGGATTATGTTAGTATTTCTCATTTTGACAGATTTCAGCTTTCTTCCCGTTTTGTTTTTTTTTTTTTTTTTGGATCATTTTTTTCTGTTCAGACAGAGAAAGTTATTTAGGGTAAGTGCGCTAGACTGCAAGCTAGGTAACACATGCCGGCTTTTTTCTCTCTGTTATGTTTTTGAGGAGAAAGTTTTGTAACACTTGTATTTTGCAGCATTCTTCCTGTATTTGAAATTTTCAACTCTTTCTTCTTTTCCCCTTCCCTTCCTCCTGACAACCATTATGTGAGATTATTAATGGTAGTGACTTATATTTTAACAGCATAAGAAAAGGATTGACGTAAAAATCAGTTTATTTGCGTTTTATTAATAAATGTTTTAAATGGGCTGTCTTCATTGGAAATGTTCTTATTAATTAATATTTTCATGTTTAATATTATCACTTCTATTTTTTTAACCCATTTAAGAAACTTAGGCAAAAGTAGTTGTTTTTCTTATTGTATTAGTATGAACCTAAAATTTTCAGGTGAAAACAGAGTATGTTAACTATCAAAAACTGTAACAGAGTTTTTGTTACTACCTTCTGCTTCCCATCAGTTTGATCATTACTTTGTAATACTTTTTACTTGGAAAATTCGTATTATGAATTGTTTTACACATTTATGATACTTCAGTAATGATGTGTCATTACGAATGATACTTTATAGATTTTTTTTTTTCTTCAACATAGTTTGTTCTGTTGCTTTCGGCAGCACTGAAATTCAGCAGTATTGTACGTAAACCTGTGGAACAGATGTGAACAGATCTTCGAGTGTTGGAAAAACCTGTTTTACAATAAGTAATTGGAAAAAAGACAAAATCAAAAGCTTGGGATTATGATGAAAAGAATGCAGTTTGCCTGTATGCTTTTGTTAGTACAGGTTCTAAATTTTTTTTGTTGTTGTTGGTTTTTTTTGACTAGGTAAAGCGGAATGTGTATGACCTAACCAGTATCCCTGTCCGCCACCAGTTATGGGAAGGCTGGCCTCCTTCTGCCACAGACGACTCGGTAAGTAGCTTTGGTTCTCATTTCATTTCTTCCTACAAATGGCTGAATTTGCTTGGATTTTTAATCAGAATCACCCAATAGCTTTTAGTGTCCCATATGCAGTAACTTACCGTTACACATACTTCAGAGCTTTATCTTGAAAGATACAAATACTAAATTATTGGCTTACTAAAGCATGTGTCCATGGAAATTATTCACGTGTATCAAATTCAGTGCATGTTTTAGACTGGAAGGAGACATGTTCCTAGACTGAAGCAAAGCTGTGCAACATTGTGGAAGTTGAGGAGGTCTGTTTTGCGGTGATGGAACTTCAGGGAAAAAATCCCGTTTTTACATGTATTCTGAGTGCATATCTAGATATTTTCCGCAGTTGCGTCCATCAGATCACTGGTATTCTTAAACCTGTGTCTGGCTTTAAGCAGGAAGTGTTCCTGTTGAAATCAGTAGAGCGCTTCACTTGCTTTTAAAGTATCTACTTTGGTTCTTGCTGGACCAGTAAGAATTTATGGACATTTGCAAGATTTCATTTTGAAATAGTAAATAATATGTACACAGTACAATATGTATTCAATTTTCCAACATATTTTTCAGGTTTTATAATTACCATTATTTAGAAATGGAAGGAAAACTTAGTTGAGATCAATATGTACCCTCAGTGGCGGAATCAGCTAACTGTGAATTGCCTACAAATTCAGGAAATTGTGGGACTTAACTTCAGAATTCCATTAAATATTAGACTTGCTTCCTTGCATGGCTGTCCCTACCGTGTGTTTTACAGCATGTCTTTCAGTTTTGCTCAGACAATTTTCTTCTGGTAGTATGTTCCCAATGGCAGCTAGTGAGGTCCACCTTTATTTAAAAAAAAAAACAAAAAAACAAACAAACCTAAAAGGCTGAAATAGTTATGTAGTTATGTATGTAGATTTTGTGACCTGAGAAAAATGTAGGAAAAAAAAAAAACTTATATTTTTATAAAATCATTCATTTAAATAGGGGTTGAACCTGAGTATTCTACAAAGTGAAAATGCAGTTGGGATTTGCTTTCTCTGTGTATTAGCATTGTCTTCAATGCATTACTTTCCTGTCCATTTTTACTCCCTTCTTGTAAAGGGAGAAGAATTGCTGTTTGTATGGTAAGACTGCTGCTTTTTTGCTCTGGGTAAAGGATTTGTGCCAATTAAAAAAAAAAAAAAAAAAAAAAAAAAAAAAAAAAAAAAAAAAAAAAAAGCAAAGACTGTCTGAATTTCTAATATTTCTAATACACGTGTAAAGTATGTCTGTGGTAGTGTTTGCAGAAAGAGTAGTTAAGTTTGAGAGGTGGGTAAATCTATGTCCATGTATTCAGGAGCATATCTGAGACGATAGATGTAAGATCTGAAATAACAGCATGGTGTCATGTGGTAATTACAGTCTTTGAAACGTGGATCCATTTTAACATTTTATTAGTTTACATTAGCCCAAAAAAGAATTGGAAACTCAACACTTCTAATCCGTTTTCCCACAGCTGTTAGGTTTTCCTGTATTTTTTTTCCCCCCTTTCTTTTGAATAGGATACCTCACATATGTAAAACTCATAAATCTGTTTTAAATCTGTTTTTACAAGTGACATTGTTGCAGGTGAATTTTCCTCCTTTTCATCTTTAATGAAATTGGTGAATGTTGAGTCATCTGCTCCAAAGCAGGAGAGTCCTCAAAGCTCACTGCTCGAGTCTGGTGCAGCTGAGACTTGTCAGCTGTGTAAACAGATTTGAATGTGTTACCAACAAAAATATAATTAATTTCTGTCTAAAATTAGAGGCCATAACTTACAATTTATAAAGATTTAATGTTAGCAGTGACTATCTATGGTTCTGTGATCTGAACATCTTTTCCTTTGCAAATTAGAAATATTCAGTAACAATTACTTTAGTAATTAGTCATGACGTCTTTAGTTCAGAGGCAAATTTTTAAAATCACTTTTTCCGTCGTGATTTTTTCACTTGCTGTATTGTATAGTATTCCATTGCAATTAAAGAGTTAAAGAAAGACTTGATTAAAATACTTTTTCATTTACATGTTATGCAGCATAAGAAATACTTTGTAATACCACAGGAGGTTTTTTCAGTGCAGTTCTCGTTAACCTTTGGCTTAGCAAACAGGACAACTAAATAGACTTCGCATAATTGGATTCCTGTATCATCTTGAGTCTCTTATGAACCTGACAGACTACAGTCTTCTGACACTATAAGGAAATATAGTGGAGTCAATAGTCATTTAAAACATTGTTGCTTCATCTCCCTTCAGAGTTAAGATATGTTCTCTGCTTGTGCTATCTAATGAAATATGGGATACTGTATGAATTGTCAATAACACTTTCAGATCCTTTTGCACACTTTCACCAGGGAAATGGGTATCAAAACCTCCACACACAGGAGAATGTTTTCATGCTGTGATAGTTTGATTGTGGGAAACAAGGCATACGTAGTCTGTGGAAATCTCATGTTCACCATTCGGCAAGGGCATACTTTTAGCTTTTATCGTGCCTGAATAATTTTAACGCCGTGAATTATATCTGTTCTGCTCATTAAAGTTCAAACAAAGTAAATGTAGGAATTTTAAATCATTCCTGTTTTTTAACAAGTTTACTTAAGTAAAACTTCAGTTATATTAAAGACAACTTATTTGGTTTGGGGTATATATCATCAACTGATATAATGAAGTCTTGAAAATTATATTAGAAAATTGAAAAAGAATTATAATTTGCTTTAAATAGATTCACAGTTTGTTCTTAATTTTTGTTTTTATTTTGAATATCGTAACAGCCTTAACATTACTGAGCTTGTAAAATAAAAATGAAGCCAGAATAATTTACTAAAATTTCTGAAATGTATTCCATTTCTCTTTGCTATATTGGCTGAACTTGTAAACTTCCACTGGTAATTACTGCTATTGCCGAGTGGAATGAGAAACCTTCAAATGTGTATGTGTAAAAAAAAAAATAAATCTGAGATCAGTCATAGGTGGTGTTTTAGTTATGATTTTTACATGGAAACATTGTGTTTTAATTATATAAGAACAGATGACTTTTTGGATATTAGCTTTACACATGTATATTTGCGGTAAAACTTTTTTACCCCTTGAGGTCACTGATTTTTTTATTTATTTCGACAGGATGAGTTTTTGTCCCTGATGTTTCTGTTCATTTCAGTAGCATAGAACAGCAACACCCAGTATGGGAAGGAGGAGAGAGGTGGCTTTTGTGCTGCTTTTGTTCTCGGTATTGAAGCTAAAACTTTTTTCTTAATTAGTTCATTGGTTTAAGTCAGTGTAGCAATGAGAAATGCCTGCTTCTTCATAAGTAACGACAGTGATCTTGTCAAAATGGAATATATTTCTGCATGAAAAAGATGTAAAACTTTTAGAATGAGGTTTGGAGGGGTAAAGGGGAGAGAGACAAAGACAGAGGATGAAGCGCCCAGTGTTGTAACTGTGCTCTCACACGTGGATCCCGTACAGAGGAACTCGGCGTCCGTCCTTCTACCTGCTGCCGGTAACACTTTGTTTCCCTAAACAGTATGGTTGGTCAAAACCTCATATCCTCATTTCAAGACGAGTAACTGTCCTACTTTACTGTATAGATAAGCCAATGGATATTAGTTTACACAGAAGTAGGTCTTCAACAATTTGGCTGCACTACTGAAGAGTCACATTTCAGATGTGACACGTGTATAGCCACTAACGTACTGAGGCTCTGCATCATCCCCTGTGAACACGACCACCTTCAGTTCTGTGACGACTGTAGCAGATGTGGTTGATGTTCCTTAGCTGAATTTAATAATTCAGGTTATAATAAAAATTTTCAAATGCTTATGTATGACCTAATTAGCACTGCTGTTATATTTATCTATTTCATTGCTAAGTACTAAGCACGGTCTGTCTGCACAGATAGAAATAAAGAATGCTGATAATAGTGTTCTGGTACAAAGTCAAACCATTTATGACACTTTTTGGCTGATCTCCAGATTTTTGAAGAGGTTGAGTATTAAGCATCTGAGTAATTAGTATCTGGGAGTATATATTTCTTTCCCTTTCCGGGTCTTACAAAGGCTTTCTGAACAGAAAGTTCATTACCACATGCTGTCATTGTGATATGAAAACAAGTTGTGAGCTTTACATACACTGGCTGTTTAATTGTAATGGATGCCGTGTCTGCATTTACTGGATCGTTTGGAGTTTTCCCCCTGGAATTGATGTGACTATAGAATGAATAGTCCTGACAGAGAAAGTGTCTTTTAATCAGAATTGTAAAATTGACTATATTTAAATTAAAATACATACATCATTAGAAAATACTCAACTATTTTTTTTCTGTGTAAGAATATCATAATTTGGATTGTCTGTAATGTTAATTACTTTGCATGTTACTTTCCTTCTGGGGTTCTCATCAATCGCTTGCAGTAGAGTGGTAGAATGGATCTGGCAGGATCCTTTTAATTTAGATACGTAGAAGAATACTTGCAGTCTGATTTGTTATGTGAGTTCAGGAATATGGTAAAGTTTCAATTTAACGTTTATACTATAATCCCAACTTAGTAGCAGAAATCATTAGACAGTACCCAGTCTTGGAAGTTCATGGTAATCTATGAAGCAATACATTCATCATCATTAAGAAACAAAAAAGTAACTGAGTAATTTAATAAACAGTTCCTAAATGTCTTTATTTTAGGTAACCTTCTGACTTTGACTTATGGCTTGCTTGGATGTTTATATGTGGATGAAAGTATGATGAATTATCATGTTCTTTCCCCAGAATAAACAAGGAGGTTACAGTTGTTCCATCACAATTTTTTTTTTACGTCACCCCCTTGTGTATTTTCTATTTGTAAAAATTAAGATAAAGTGATTGGAATTAATTTCATTTATGTAAAAATTACCATGTCAGGGATAATCAGTTTTGTGTTATGTTTGTACTTTTGTATCACGAGATAATTTATTTTAGGATTGTCCAATTTTAAAACATA